GAGTCATAGCTAACGCGTTAATGGGTATTAAATCTGGGTGTGGCTCTAATTCCCATGTTGTAAACAAGAAAAGCCCCAAATATACACAAGAGAGGGGATTGGACAAAAGGCTGACGAAACATAGCCACCGCCTTTGACATGACAAACGCCATATTAAATATATGACTCTAAATCAGCGTTAGTTCTTGAAAAGCTTGAAAATCAGAGTAATAATAATGCAGATTCGGCATTTTCAAGCAGCCATTGCCCTAGCGTAGATTAGAAGAGAATCGTTATCACAGGAAGAAGTTTGAACCATCTGGAGTTTTGTAGCAAGACTAGCTAGTAACAATATATCTAAGCAACTATGGAAATTTTTCAGGGCTATTTGAGATCGCTTAGATCATCAATATTGTCCCCCTGTGGATACCAAAACCGTCCCTTTCAAGAAGATATTATGGAAGAGGGTGACATAACTGTGAAGCGTGAATCAGTGATAGAAAACCCCGATAATCCTGCTTCAGTTGGTCAAGACTATTGACTGACAGAGTCAATGATATAGGTTTCTCACAAGTACACTCAGATCCGAACATATGCATACACCATCTGCTACTACACTTCTCTGTGGCGCAGAAGTTGTGGCCGTGAAATCCATAACCTAATCCAATCATACAGTGTATGCTCTACCACTGACAATGTGCACACTGCGATGACGCATAAGCAATAGCTAGCTGGTAACACTTTCCAATTCAGATCGAAGGGTTTGGGGATGACGTTTTGCTCTTTACCCTGCATCAACATCGTCAGTCATCAGCATCAGTCATCATCATCATTGCTACGCAATTACCGTTAACAGTCCACAGTACGTAGTTCGACCATTCCATCCTTGTCCCGCAAAAGTAAGCACGGCAGTTAAATCTCCCCAGACCATTTCTACCACAATCATAATTCCCATGATATCGATACTGCTTACAGCATCGATCTACCTAACCACCTTTTGTTGCTCAGGCGATCTCAATCCATATGTAAGCGATCTGCGCCGCAGATCCGCCGGTACCTGACTCAGTCTTCCTTCGGCATTTAATATCAACCATGGGTTCGACGTGCTAGAGATACATCGACATTGAAGCAAATCGCTCTTTGCTTGCGTCACCTGAATCCATGTTCAAACTCTGAAGAATGGGAACCTGTCACAGCCTCGTCGGCGCTAGACAAACAACAGATACGAAGCAAGGCCGTCCAGGTTCTCGGACAACGGCCCGAGAATTTTGCGGGGAAGAAAGACCGAAGAGACGTGCTGTAATGGGAAAGCTTGCGAAGACCGGTGAAACGGTGGACAACGGCCATTATGACGGATAGTCAGTAGCATACATACGTAAGTACGTAGCATGTCCTTGAAATAAACAAAAGAGGGCCTCGATGGTTGTTGACCAGAGAACAAAAGGTTGCGGCACGTGCTTCTTAAAGGTACCTAGGTACCTAGGGCACAAGAGTACTTGGTTGACCTAAACTTGCTCGCCCGAGGCTGAGCAAAAAGAAGACGGTGGAAAAGGAAATTGCATAGGGCCGTTTCTGGGCTGTGACATGCGTCATTTAGAAAGACCCTAACAGCGCCTCAAAATGTTTTGCAAATAGAGTTTCGGGGAGGCTTGTTAGAAGGGTGTGATGCTTGTAAAACGGGTTGCCAAGTATTCCGCCGTCCGAGCATCTGTTCGGACTCTTGCAACTATTATTCCGAGCAGTCAGTCCTCTTTATTACCGGCATTTCTCTCTCTTGCTCTCGTTCGATTTCCTGCATGAATAATGTGTTGTTCCAGGATTGCAATCTGTGACAGACAGTGTGTTGTTTTGTGATTTTGCGCAATCACATGGCGCTTCGACCTGTGATTGAATGCTCAAGGTATACTTACTTTTAGAAGCTTTATCACCCATTTTCGCAAGTATCACCAAAAAGCACCCCTGCCCAGCCAACTGCGCCTCAATCGCGCGCTATTCGTTGTGCGGATTTTGTCGGATGGTACAGTTATCTGCACATGTTAACCGCGGTGATGATATTACTACCCCACGATGCACATGCAACTCGTATATCGCACAGGCAGGGCATGACTAGCGAATGCCATCCATCAACAAAGACGTATGGTTGAAGCTCGGCTACGTAGGATGGAAAGCCCGGGCGGCAAGTCCGCATCCTGCGATACACAATCCGACTTGCTAGGCCTGAACATGGTTTCCAAGGCCGTCCGGACTAGTAGACCCCCTTTCCCCATGCAACAGCCCTGATTAGCCGGTAAAACCCATTGTAACACATGGATCGTCCGCATGCGATGTCCTCGTATGCAAAGTCCGCATACCAAGAGCAGGGATGTCACCGTTGGTGGACATGACCTAGGCAAAAGCAGCCGATAAAAGGACGATACGATACGTACGGATAAACCAGTGCTTTTAGCACCTGCATCTCACTATTCGCATCCGGAGACATCGCCGTTGTCACGCAGGGTAGGCGGAACCCCAGCATCCATCAATCGATATCGATATCTTTCTCTTGCTACTAGTAGTTTGGCGCCCTGTTTCACACAAGCCACGGTTGTGTGTTCCCCGCAGGCTCTGGGAACCGCTACTTACTACTATCTTATTGCTGCATGACACCGCGCAGTCCGCACCGTCGAGCCTGGGTCAACATGGACGACTTGTCGCACACGCAAACACGCGACACGATGCTAAAGGATCCCGACTTCCCCGCTGAGGACTTCGAGTACAACTCTGCGCCCGGCGCATCCCGGTACAGAGATGGTCCTACCAGAGGCGAGGTTCTCGATATAGACCCAGAGGGCGAGGTGCGCAGGCGCTGGCAGACGCCGTGGGGAAAGAGCTTTAGAACTCGAAGGCACAGACGGAGTTACAGTCACGAACACTACAAGGTGTATAAGAGACGATGGATTGGGTTGGCCCAGCTGGTACTGCTGAATATCGTCGTCAGTTGGGACGTAAGTTGATCGCATGCCTTCCATTTCTCTTCCCTATTGTTTACAGAAAGGGGGCTCAAAAAGGCTGGGCGAGGCTGTCAGCAGTGTCAGATTTTCCCCCTTGTCATGCTTATCTTGAAATGACGGTGGTGAAAATTGCTATTTTTCTTTCCCCGGACTTGTCCCGAACGTGGGGAAGAAGGAAGCGCCGAAACACCAACCTTAATATAACACATGATAAAAAACTAACATTGAAATATAGTGGTTAACTTTTGCGCCCATCTCCACTACTTCGGCACTCTACTTTGGTGTACGGGAGTCGACTATCAACTGGCTTTCTACCGCTTTTCTTCTCTCCTTCGCCGTCTCATGCCCTTTCACCATCTACCTCTTGCACCGCGGCCCCAAACCATCCATCATCGCAGCCTCTGTCTTGCTTCTAGCGGGTAACTGGATCAGGTATGCAGGCACAGTGGCAAATGGCGGCATCTTCGGGGTCGTCATGGTAGGCCAGATCCTGACGGGTCTGGCACAACCGTTTGTGCTGGCGGCACCCACAAGATACAGCGACATGTGGTTTACCGAGTCCGGACGAGTGGGAGCCACAGCATTGGCAAGCATGGCGAATCCCCTCGGTGGAGCCGTAAGTCTTCCATTCCTCGCTGCTGAAAAAGAAAACCCCCCTCACGAGAATAAACATCAACTAACAACACACAAAAGGTCGCATCCCTCGTCAACCCAGAACTAGGCTCCCTCCCTACCACCATCCTCATAATCTCCATCATCGCCTCCGTAGCCTCCATCCCCTCCCTCTTCGTTCCCGCCGCACCCCCAACTCCCCCCGCGGCCTCCTCCACCCTCGCCAAACCCCCCATCGTAGACTCCCTCCGCCAAATGCTCCGCACCCCCGCCTTCTACGTCGTCTTCCTCACCTTCGGCGTCTACGTCGGCCTCTTCAACGCCTTCTCCAGCCTCATGAACCAAATCCTGTATCCGTATGGGTACACGGAAGATGAAGCCGGTCTCTGCGGCGCTGTCCTCATCATAACGGGTCTTGTTGCTTGCGCCATTGTCAGTCCGATTGTAGATCGCACGCACGCCTACCTCGGCGCTGTTAAGATCCTCACACCGCTCGTATCAATTGCGTACGTAGCGTTCATCTGGGCGCCGCAGACGCGCACGATTGCCGCCCCGTATATCCTTAGTGCTGCGCTGGGCGCAGCCTCATTCTCTTTACTCCCTGTTGCGCTGGAGTTTCTTGTTGAAATCACGTTTCCCGCGAGTCCAGAGATTAGTTCGACGATTTGTTGGGTTGGTGGTCAGATTATCGGGGCGATTATTATTATTGTTATGGATGCGTTCAAGGATGATCGGCCGGTGGATTTGGAGCTGGTGAAGAAGTTGGGGAGGGGGACGCAGGGGTCGGCGGGGGATAGGCCACCGGGGAATATGTTTAATTCGCTTATTTTCCAGGCGGTGCTTGCGATGGCGGTTTTGCCATTGCCGCTCGCATTAGGGTGGAAGAGGGTTGGGTTGGGGGTCACTGAAGGTAGGTTGTCGAGGGATGTGGATGGAGGTGTGGCGGAGGATTTGCGTGTGTAGGTAGTAAGTGGAGGCTTGTTCAACTCGTGATTCGAGCATGATGACGATGATGATGATGATGACAATGGGACATTCTCTTCATAAGGCTTCGGATGTGTCAGGGAGTCTGTGTCATAGAATTATCAAGGAAATCGGGAATCGGGGGTTTCTTGTGTTGTGTCCAAGTATCCTTATTTCATCGTTTCTGACACGTCAACCGTTATTCGTAGATATCAATACTGCCGATCTATAGCAAAGTTTCTGATTCAATCAGTAGAACCAATGTTTCCTCGCTTCAATTGTGTGTAGAGTTTGATTCAGAGGGAGAGATAGAAGTACAGTGATATTTCTAAACATGACTATGGTATTTACAGTCATCCATAATGTCTTGATCATTTGCACGCAATCCGAATGGCTGACCCTGATGCACTATCTATACGCTGGTATGGGAAAGTGGATGTTGTGGGGTAGATCGGTTTACTTGAGCTGAGCAAAGAGCTTGGGGGCGGCGCATTGGGTTGCGCAGTGAGCGAGGTGGAAAACTGATAAGGTGTTAGCTCATCTCTGTGGGTCAAGGCGAAGCGTGGTGGTGACGTACATTCTTCAACGCAGTCCTCGTCGGCCTTGCCCTTCTCCTCAATCTGGCCTGTTACCCGTTGAGCGCACTCGTCGTAGTGGTGCTTGGGGCCATGGCATTCCTTGGACTCGGCGCATTCTGCAATGAACTGTTAGCCATGCGTCTCTTTTATCCCGCCATCTGATGATGCGTTGGGCCTGAGTGGATGCCTGCACATGCCCATCCAGTAGCGCTGCATCCAACCCTGTCCGACGAGCAATTGATTCTGCCCATGTTTTCTGCCATGTTCTGTGTCTTCCGGAGTCACTCACCCTTCTCGAGCTTGTCCTTTGGGTCGGGCTCCTCCTCTTCCTCCTCGTCCTCGTCCTCTTCAGGCTCCTCGGAAGGCTTGTGTCCCTGCTCGCTCGAGCCGCCTGATTTTGCGTCCTGCTTGTTGACCTCGGCCTCCTCGCCGCTCTCCTCATCGGTGCCGGAAGCGGGCGATTTGGTGCTGGTGCCACCCTGGACGGGGTGCTCGGCGTCGGCCGAGGGGTGGGAGAAGGTCTCCCAGACGTCGCTGAAGAAGTCGGTGATACCCATTGTGAATGCTCCGGGGCAATTGGGGGTCCTCGAGTTGGGATGGGGGTGGTGCGGAGGGTTGGAGGTGATGATTTGACCAAAGCTTGAATCGTTGTTCTGAACCCGGGATCGCGAAAATGGACGGTGCACGGACCCGGCATTTGGGTTAGCGGGCGTCATCTGATTGCGAGCCCTCTCAGTGGCTTCTCACATCCTGTCGCCATCGAGGCGGACATGTCCTGTCTGATTGGAAAAATATCTAGAGTTTTACCGATAATAACCAGTCCACTAACCCCGGTGCCGCTTGAAGGCTTCTTCGACGCTAACTCCATTCCCAACGTCTGCAGTAACCTTCTCATCGGCCTCGACGAGCTTCGGCAGCAATTCAAGCAGCTCGTCCACCTTTGCCTGTGGTACTGCGACCACACCATTCTCGAATGGATCTATCATGATGATGTCGCCGGCCTCGACAATTGTCTCTCCAATCTTCACAGGCACATTATGCGCATGAAACTTTGTCTCGGCCCCCGCCCCGATCACAGACGTCGCTTTGGACCAGATGGGCAGCTTGGTCTGGTTCAGAGCACTGATATCTCTTACCCGACCATCAACTACAATTCCCTCTGCTCCAAGATGCTGCATGCGAGCTGCCATTATGCCCCCCACCACGGCGCAACTCTGACCAGGCGGTTGGCTGATGACGACAATGGTGCCGTTCTCAGTATAATCTGCATATGGCCTTGAGTCTGAGAGATTGGAGGCAGGTATATTGCCTGGCATCTGCGGTGGGGCAGGGAAAGACTTGGTGGCTTTGGGGACCATGAGGAAGGTCGATGCAGGCGCAAGCACCTTTCTAGGCTCAGGCTTCGGAATGCTGGCAGTATGGAGCAGTGGCCCTGAACACGATTCAGTGGGTCTATTGCATATATAGATTCATGGTGCATATACTTATATCGGTGAGAAAGCCTGCGCCGGGAACGTGGAGCTTGAGCAGACCATCTGCGAGCTATGCAAGGTGAGTTATTTGTGAAGTGTATAGGCACGAACACGATAGACGTACGTCGCATGCTGCGTATTCATACAATTTCTTCCATTTCGGAGATGCCATGGCTGTATACCAAAATCAAGATGGGCAATGTATCAGGCCAACTCTATGAAGTGCTCCAGGCGCAATGATGGCCGTGGTTCCCTAACCCCGCCAACCGAGGTGTACTTGTTTGGAACTCTAGCGTCCATGTTTGAACGACCTCGTAGACTCAACAATGCATTGCCTACCTGTAGATTTACAAGAAAACACATATCTACTCTTGTGTTGACGTATGGTTTGTCTCTGTTCATCCAGCCTCGGACGGAAACGCCCCGCCGGTTTCGCAGCCTGTCAGAGATGCGCTCGTTTAGGCAAAACATTACCCCGCGCCGGTATCCTGGGGAAGAGCATGGGATTGTAAGACTTGTGCATGCTTGTAAGAGCATACTGCACCCGGCAATGACAGTCCGAGGTGGACTATGTACACAGTGTACACATGTTGCCAAGACAGAGTGGGAACGCCAGGTGTCAAGCCACGGTGGGAGGCGGAGAGCGATGTCATGCAAGGGTCCAAGACCAGACGATCGATGCGCACTGGCCTATTCTTCCTCTTTCTAGACAACATCAACGTCAACGTCCGGTGGCCTTTCGCCGCCACGACTTTTTGCTTTCACTTGCGCAACTCTATCCTTCACTCCTCCATCTGGTATTTTATATAGTCTTTGCGGCCTCTGCCGCTGCACAATCTCCACTATGGCCTTCCATGCGGTCGGCGCAGTCCAGGTACGGTTTGCCACGAATCCCGACATCGCGTCATTGAGCCCCATGCTGATATAGAATACATAGAACGTCGCTTCTGTCACCACCGAGCTGTGGCCAACCATGTCCACTGTCTTGCGATCCTCATGGCACGGCTTTGGGCGAAAGCCCACGGCTGTCGGCATCCGTCAGCTTCATACTTCACCATCCTCTCCGTCTGCCGTAATGGCAGGAGCGCATGTACGCAAACCCAACTTCGTCGCCCCCATTCATCATACTGATATGAATATAGCAATGCGCGCAGCCTGCTCGTCCCGAGTGCTCCGAATCTGTTCCCTCGTCCACCTCTCTCGCTACTCCGTTCTCCAAGCTATCTTCGGGTTCGTAGAAACAAAGGCATCCGGCACAAGGCAGAATTAACATCATACAGTATCGAGAGTCGGACTATGCAACTCTTTCGCTAGCGCTTCACCCTTTGCCTCCCTCAAGGCACGTCAATACTCCACCATGTCTCGCAACGGCCCTCTATCGCACCTCCGTCAGCTCTCGAAGCCAGGAATGCTCGGATTAAATCTCGCACAACAACGCTCGCTCTTCGGTGGACCTTCGCATGAACAACTTGCTCGATTGGAACAGACTGCCAACAAGCACCCTAACAGCGCACCGTCTCAGGCTTCTTTCTACTCGGCACTTATGCGCGCCAACATGCCTCAAATCATCATCAACCGGTACAACACAGGACTTTTCGCCACAAACGATGTCATAGATAAGCTTTACAATGAGGCCTTGACAAAGACTGGACAGCAAGGTGCTGTTCAGGAAGGACTCTCACCAGAAAAGCGCCAGGCCATCACCCAGGCTCTCGGAGCAAACGCCAATTCTGCCCAGGTCGCAAGAACTAAGGGTGGCAGTGGCGTTAAGACCGACCCTGTCTACGTTGTTGTCGAGGAGTCCTTGATGAACGTCATCTTCAAGTGGATTCGATGGATCTGCGGTTTCGCTCTAGCTGCCTACGTATCCCTGGTCCTGATTACGCTTTTCGTCGAGACTAGTGGTGTTCTCAAGAAGGTTGGTGGTGGCACTACTGCCGAAGTTCGTCCAGAGCAGCAGAACACCCGTTTCAGTGACGTCCACGGTTGCGACGAAGCCAAGGAGGAACTCCTCGATGTCGTCGACTTTCTCAAGAATCCAGACAAGTATAACAAACTCGGTGGAAGATTGCCCAAAGGTGTCCTCCTAGTCGGTCCCCCCGGTACTGGTAAAACTCTGCTTGCTCGTGCTTGCGCGGGCGAAGCTGGCGTCCCCTTCTTTTATATGTCTGGTTCTGAATTTGACGAAGTCTACGTTGGTGTCGGAGCAAAGCGCGTCCGCGAACTCTTTACTGCTGCTCGTTCCAAGGCACCTGCAATTGTGTTCATCGATGAGTTGGATGCTGTAGGCGGAAAGCGAAAGTCTCGTGATGCCAACTACCACCGCCAAACTCTGAACCAGCTTCTCAATGATCTCGACGGTTTTGACCAAAGCACCGGTGTCATCTTCATCGCCGCAACGAACCACCCTGAACTTCTCGACCCGGCTCTTCTCCGTCCCGGACGTTTCGATCGCCATGTCCAAGTTGAGCTTCCTGACGTCGGTGGGCGATTGGCTATTCTCAAGTATCACACCAAGAAGATTCGTCTTTCGCCCGATATTGACCTCTCCTCCATTGCTCGCGGTACCCCTGGATTTTCTGGTGCAGAGTTGGAGAACCTTGCAAACTCAGCAGCTATCCGCGCATCAAAGCTTCAGGCCAAGTTTGTGACCCTCAACGATATGGAATGGGCCAAGGACAAGATTACAATGGGTGCTGAGAAGAAGACACGCACAATTCCCCTCCAAGACAAGATCCACACTGCATACCACGAGGGTGGCCACGCACTTGTTGGTCTCTTCACCAAGGGCTTCAATGATGTTCACAAAGCGACTATTCTTCCTCGCGGACATGCTGCCGGTATCACATTCTTCCTTCCCCAGGAAGAGAACCACCACACCCGCAAGCAGTACATTCGTCAACTCCAAGTGGCTATGGGTGGCAAGATGGCAGAAGAGATCGTCTTTGGTGCTGACAACGTAGCTGACGGTGCTTCCGGCGATATCCAACAGGCCACTTCGTTAGCGTACAACATGGTCACAGCATGTGGATTCTCGGACAAGCTCGGTAATGTCGACTTCAAGTCCAACTACGAAATGGTCTCCCCCGAGACCAAGCGACTCATCGATGACGAAGTCCGACGTTTGATAGATGAAGCAAAGTCAAGCGCACGAGAGCTACTTCAATCGAAACGCACCGAGCTAGACCGTCTAGCCGATGCGCTTGTCCAATACGAAACCCTGGATAAGCAAGAAATCCTCAAGGTCATCAAGGGCGAGGACCTCCCTGGTCGCCTAAAGGCTATGCCTGATTCCCCAATAAAGATACCGGACAACCCTCTTCCCACTGCCATGTTGCCTCCACCGAGGGGCAACGGTGGCAATGGCTCGGGTCCCCCGGGCCCACCGCTACCCGCATAGTTCCTCATCATGACTAAGTATGAGCAAAGGGGAGAGGGGGCATTAGTTGAAAAAGAAAAAGAACAATGCATATTTTAGCATGTATCATTGCATGAATGAGGCGTGGAAACATGGTAGTGTTTGTAGCAAAGTCTTTTTTTGCCTCACTGTCTATCTCTCTCCGCTTTACCCCCCCTCGTTCTTGGAAGCAAGGGTTACGAATGGTCTTCTTTTTTTGGCAGTTTATTTTTTGTACAGTAACAAACCTTTTTGGGGGTTCTTTGTGGTAAGAAAGAACCCGCTTTAGCCAAGTATGTGTGAGCTCTTTTTTTTGGTAGCTGCACATACATAAAGAATGATAAGATTAAGAATGAAAAGAATGAAAAGGACATCAGAGTGTTTTGCGTGTGCGTGTGAGGCTCATGAGTATGAGTGTGAGGTTGAGAGTATGGAATTCACGTGATGAATTCTCTGCTGTAAGTTTGAAATAAAAAAAAGGCATTGTACTATAATGAATCTTGTCTTTTTTGTCAACCATCCAAGTTGCGACTTTTCTTTTTCTTTTTCTTTTTCTACGTGTAAGGAATTAAAGTGAACAAGAAGACTTGTAAGAAGAATCAAACTTGTATATTCCCAACACACACGCACACACACACAGACACACTCTTTATCCTTCACCCACGTCTACTTCCTCTAATCTACATATAGACAAAAAATTTCTCAGTCTTGATTTTATTTTATTTTCCCCACACATATACACATTCTTACAGGATTCTTGATCTGCAAGTAAAATCGTATGTTCAAGGTGAACTGTGTGGATCTGACGTCCTCTTCGCCCCCCCCTCCCCCAATTTCCCATGGAGAAAAAACAACACATGTTTCTAACATGCCCATTGCACAGACGGCCTCAGTGGCACGTATTCGTTATCTGACAGGATACAGTCTGGACCCTTTGCTTCTTTAGTATGTGTATATTCCTGGTATTTAGGCGTCCAGCTGGTGATCATTTAGGGTGATGCCGATTAACCTGTGTGTCTCTATAGTAGAATGACTGTAGCCAGTGGCGAAGCAAGCAACAACGCTTAATCTATTTCCACACCGGCCTGCACGGTTTGTGGGGGAGGGGGGGCGTACGGTTGCAGTTTCGATTCGGCAATCGACTCGCACTCGAGTCAGTTGCTGTATGAAGGCCTCCTGTCGCAACCAGCCACAACGCACAGCGCATCCTGTATCTCGACCACCCGTTTCTGAAACTAAGCGGGGGTTGTTTTTGTCTGGCGGGGATGGGATGGCCCCAGGGAATGGGGGTCAGCTGACGTCAGGATACCTTCATGCTGGCTGGATTCCTCGTCCACGTCTTTTTTTCCAGCTGCATCTGCGGTCTAGACTCGACATATGGGATCTTTGGTCGAATTCTAGACTCGTCGGCAGTTCGCAAAAAAGCTTTCGGTACTTTGATAGCTAACATGCATATTCCCTTTCTGTAGCTCCTGAGTCACATACCCCCAGTGCCCCCTCCTACGCCATGTCTTGCATATTGTCTGGTGTTGTACTCAGACGTAGTGTGTTCTTGGCGTAAGCGTCGCGGGTAGTGCGCGTCGCGATGTTGCGAGGGGTAAGATACCTCTGTTGGAGGGCGTGTGAAACATTCTCATAGCCATGTCGGGCGAGCTGATGCCGACTCAGTGCGCACTTCAGCTGAAGTGTGGTCGTCTCCACATAGCCGCCCCAAATTCGCAGCTTTTGCAACGTAATCCTTATCTGATTTTGTCCACTCGCATTAATGGGCGGTAAATATGACGCATGTTTTGAGTGTCGTTTCTTTGTTTGAAGGAGTGATCATATGAGTAGTGTGAGCTGTTGGTATTCAAATATAAACGAATCGTTCAAACGTAAAGGGCTCGTGTCCAATCGGCAACTGTTCCTTCTGTCAGCACGCGCGGTTTCTGCGCCGGATTTTACCGCAGATGGGCATGTTGCGAACCTCAGTGCGGTCGGGGGTGATGTTGCTGGTAATCAGGTGCGGAGGTAGGCAAACTCACATGGAGATTGTGGGTTACCTGGTGTTGAGGCCCGGGTGATGAGCCGTATCCAAAGACGTATGCGTTGGAGAGGTACTCGTGTGATTGCTGTGATAAATTTTGCGTTTGCTGATGATATGCTATGGGTGCTGGAGGCTCAGGGCTGTAGTGATACAACGATGGCTGTGGAGAGGTCTGGACAGGATGCTCAAATCCCAGCGTCCAAGCCGGTGGCACGTTCCAGGCAGCGTTTGCCGGAGGGGGTGGGGGTGGAGAGTAGGGATGCGCGTTCCAGTTTGAAGAATAGATACCATATGCGTGTGATGCAGTACCATGTTGACCACCAAAAGATGTGGTTGTGGTTGTCATAATAGGGGTCTGTGAAGCTTTACTCGTGGCGCCTAGAGAGCTAAGGTCATTGTTGGAGGGGATGGAAGGTATTTGGTAAGGCGATAGGCTTGATCCTATGGTGCTGTGATTCCTTGAATATGAAGGCGTATACGTTTCTTGTTGCTCGGGAGATGGCTCATGCCTCTGATGATCGTCTGTCTCATCACTGATCAACTGCTGGAGATACTGGAGCTTCCGTTTACGCTTTTCACCTGCGATAAGACAAATAAGATACAATACAAAGACTGACATCCAGAGCAACGTACGGTAGTTACGCGAAGCGATCCTGTTTTGTTGCTTTCGGATCTCGCTATTGACTTTCTTCGGTTTTACAGCTGCCTCTGCGCTCTCTCCTGACGGCCTTGTCCTTTGGCGACCTCTTTGCAACGATTCTGACGGTAGTGCGGTACTAGGGGGATTCATGGCGCCAGCAGGTACGAACGGGAACCGGAGTATGGAAATGATATGCACAAAACGTGCTGAAAAGGGCTTGCTTTTGAGCCGCTGATCAGTTTCCAAATGTACGTTGCAAGGTTACATTTGAGCACAGAATCCCCTGGACGACTTAACAATGGGGGCCACACTTGCTAAGCGAAACACGTCTGCAGCTTGCCTCTGCCATCAGGCCTTTTCTAAGCGCTGCTGAATAAACACTACCAAAATAGTAGCTGGACCAAATGACAGACAGAAGCAAGTAATGCAGATTGTGATCCTGCCGCCGTCAACCTTAACCTTAATGTTCGCCGCAATGTGGTGAGATCGGATCATCAGAGACTTGGGGAACTGCAAAGCACATGTTCTGGGCTTTAGTCATGTTGGCCAGCCACGTTACAAGCTGTATGCCGGCTCCATGCCGCGTAGCCGCTCAATCAGTAAACGATACGTGATTAGTTACTGCTGTATTGAGTACGCTAGGCGAGGGAAGCTGGAGTTTCGGGTTGCTGAATCATCACGGAAGAGCGACCCGAGCATGATCCGTCATGAAAGAGTGTCCACGTGAGCAGGCGAAGCCATGGTGGGTGACGTGGAGCATGTCGCCAGCAGCAGCAGGACCGGACATACCGCCTGTGCGGAGGTGACGACAGATGGGATTTGTCACATGAATCACGATGGGTGTGGAGAAGCGCATTGAAGCAATGGGCACAAAGTAGTGGAGGAAAAACGTTGAGCTACGAAGAGGCTATGTTTGTGGTGGTCTAAGGCCGTCAGCCACTAGTCCGCCATGGTAGTGGACTAGATGATGCATAAGCAGGGGCAACACGAATCTCACCCCGCCTTTTCCAGCACCAAATGGCACAAAGCTGCATGTATCTCAATGTCACCTCAAATGAAGTCTTGTTTGTCTTCTTCTTCTTTGTCGTTTGACTTCGCCACGGAGACGGTGTCACCAGCGATCGGAATTAAGGTTGGGACCGGGCCGTTGGTAATCCTATCTCATCATCATCACAACCAAATATAGAAAAACGTTGCAGCCTAGCCAGTCTAAGCGTTGCCGGCGGGAAAGTCGATACAGTTATGGGACGAGTACGGCTGCTTTGGATAACGGTGAGTCTTATCACATAGTTGCTAACGCACAGTGAATCAACACTTATGATGTAGCACCAGGCATCGCCATCATGCCATTGGTCCAGCGATTATATGTAGGAACGCATGACGCACATGTCATTGAATGCAAGAATTTCGATCGTCGGGAACTGATGTGCCAGCGAATGCAGCATTGCCAAGACGAGTCGCGTGGACTTTATTTAACACACGAGTGGGTATTTTACAAGAGCGAGCACTCTCATCCAATTGTACCTGTGTGAGTCAATATATAGAATCACGGGAAAATGCTACCAATCTCGCCATCGAGCGTGGTGTGGCTGAGCAATGGAGATTGCAACTAAATATTGACAAATCATTCTGGGGTATATGCACTGGCTGTGTCAAACACCTGATGCAGGCATCGCTCGCCCCAATCCTTTCGGTTGTCGGCGGAACGGTCGCCACATGGTCGCCCATCTCCGCAAGAACGCCGACCCGCCGCCATGGTATCATCGTATCCAGAGACGCCATAACCCAAAACTGCAAACAAAACACTATTGGTTTGTCAACACCACGGCAAGCCGATCTGCTCAACTTATCTCAGTCACCTCTTTCTTCTTCAGACTATAAGTCCGGACAATATTAGACAAGCTGCTTTTCGAGTGGCCTTCCGAATCAGGGGTTGGACGGCTCGAACTTTGAGCTTCTTCCTGCGTCCTGCGTTGCTGTATTTGTGTTAGTGTCGTCTTGAGTGCAGAGTACAACTGCTTGTTGTCGCTGGTATCGAGATCGACCCAGAAGGAATAGAAGAATAGACCTCGGTGGTTGACGGTTTTGAGATGGCGCATGATGTATTGCCTCGCGGATACTTCGGGCTCGCTTTTGCTGGGTGAGTAATCCGGGAAAAACTTCTCCAGAGGCGAGTGCGGCATCTTTCTAGTAAAGCGAGTATAGTTGTTGAATATTATGAGGATGGAAGAGGTTGAAAACCCGGGCTGACTGATCCAACTTTCAAAACTTCTGAATTCGTCCATCAAGAGCGACTCGTTCGGTTGAGTGGGGCTCGGCTTGTCATATAGCGACACATCAATGGTGTACATGAGCGCAGCCGCTCCCTCAAGCTGATGGAACCAGCGCTCCCGGAATTGATCAGGAAAACCCTCCTTGACATTGAAAAGGTGAATATCCAATCCATCCCAGTTGAAGCGCAGCTCCTTGATGCCGCGCATAGATTGGTTCAAGCGAATGATATCCGCTTCTGTAGGAACATAGTCTTGATCAGATATGCGGGCGACTTCTTGCGCAAAGTAGGGTGCATATTGGGGGAAGTCAATCTCGAAGTTGTGGTCGTACAGTTTGGAAAACTGGGGACTCGACCAGAGACGATCAATGGCCTTGGCCGCATCAGGTGTGATACCTTCATTGCCAGCTTCCAGCTCGTTGAGTAGGGTAGCGAAATGCTGGTTCAGCTCGGATGGCAGGGACACACCAGTGTCTTTGAGCAAATCGGCCATGGATTGCATGAGAGAGTAGACCACTTGGATGATCTGACACCGGTGCTTGATGCGTTCACTGGCAGGTTGATGCCCCTCTGCGTATAGCATCTTCAATTGGTGCATCAAAAGGTCTTTGCCACTGTTGATCTTGCCTACGAGGATGAGCTTGGTCTCATGACGGAGATTACTAGCTTCTCTTTGCAGGGCACGGTCGATTGCTTCTGATCGATTGATTGCTTCGACATGCTCGTAGTTTGCATCGCTAGGCGAAACGTTCCTGTCGAGCGGGTTTTGAGCAGACTTTTTGTTGAATAAGAGCTTTAACCACTGAACGAAGGTGGACAGCTGTGTAAGTCCTGCTATGCAGCCACTATTCCATCTTGAGGACTGTGAAAGTAGTTTGAGATTTGCAGCGTCCTCTTGCCTGATTTGGCGACTCTTGTGGAGCAGAATCTTTCGTTGCGCCTGTGCTGTGCTGTCGCTTGTTAGGAATCTGATACGCCAGAGGGTAGCTGGTTAAATAACTCACCAGTGACATGCTGCAAGTAGTAGATTCACAGCATCATTTTGCCTCTGCGCAACCGTCTGCAGTCGGCCCATAGTCCTGCTAGCAAGTGCATACTTTAGCTTGGCTGCAAAATCAGCGGCACGCAAGTCTGATTGTTGAAAGGTCTTGATGAGCGAGTTCACATGGCGAGAAAGCTCATCAGAAGAGTGGGCAAGCATGTCCAAGTCAGTAAGCAGCTGCGGATGCAGGTCATTGCCACTGCTGGCAAGCCAGTCCTGTATGCTTCCATAGGAGGATTTCAGAGCTGTCAGCTGCGCAATAAGATTAATGGGCGATCCATTACCATCTTTGCGGCGGTTGTGAATCTGGCGCAAGCCGTCAATGTCGTGCCGGAGGCGATCGCGAAGTGCACCGATAGCGCTGGTCAATGCGAAGACGTTCTTCTCGTTGGCCACCATGGCTGTCGTGGCCTGGCCTGGTCGTGTTGTAAAGCAATCGCCGTTAGTCTAATCAGTGCGGTTGGTTCAAACGAGCACGAATGTGAATGGCAAGAGTGTTTGCGACGGGCAAACCGGGCGCGCGGAGGCTGGCAGCAGGGGGGCTTCAAGAGTCGTGGGGGTAAGGTTCGCACTTGTAAGCCGTTGTCACGACGCTTGATGCAAAGGGCCAGTGCCAGGTCCGCGGATGGTGATTGCTTAGAATAGGGAAAACGAGTGCGCCCGACAGCGACCGACAAGATACCGGAGGCAGTCCAGGTGCGGGGCTGTCACGTTTGTTCCTCATAAATGGCAGTGCAGTTCGTCTACAGGGGATGGCTTGGCAAAGACCCGAGTCGGACATTGAAGCGACTTTGTTGATCAGACATCGATAGCCCGGATATCGCTCTGTGAGCGGCTGTTTGGCGCGTCTTAATGTCAGGGACGCGTTAATCGCTTACGGCTCGGGCTGGTAGCGTGGCAGCCAAGGCGGTTTCGCCCTGTCGTGGCTGGCTGCTGATAAGTTGTGCTGGGGGTGCATTCCGACGGCTAATTGAAGCAAGGCTACCAAGGGGAAGGGCACGGCCGGGAATCGGGTGCAATAACGTGGTTGCTGGGAACAACATGGGTGAGATGACGTGGGCTTGAAACGTGAAGTCGCAGTGTATGAGTGGAGGTCAAGAGGAGACAGTTCAAAGAACGAACTTGCCCACCCTTCCCTCCTGGCCCGTGACTCACCGGCTGCTAGTGCAAACGCCTGCCAAGCCAGCTTCCTGTCGTCATCCTACGCTGCACAACTCATTTTTCAACCACCAGCAATCATGCTCATCACCGGCCCCAGCAAGTTATTACGAGGTCCGGCCGCCCCATCGCTAGGACCATATATTTTTCGACCGTGAAACCCGCCGCCGGATACACAATGGCGGCTCTAAACACACTCCCAAATGAGATCCTCTCGCTAATCACGAGACATCTTGACCGTCCCAAAGATGTTCTCAATCTCTCGCTAGTATGTCGTCGTCTAGGCGACTTTGCAAAGCTCGACGGGTGGAAAGCTTTGCTCAAAGGCCGATTTGGCTTTGGTGGGCTCGACTCAGATGCTCGTGTCGCCGTCCATGGCCTCACGACATTATATCGCAACTGGAACCGCAAAGGCTTCATTGCAGCATACTTGGAGCCCATGAGGAATACCACAAGTCTCAACACCTGGCGGCCTGAAAGATGGAGACCCCCACAGGGGCAAACTATGGGCTATCAACCCAGCATCGACAGCTATGAAGAGATGTACGGTGGTTGGGGAGAGCGACGAGAAGTACTGGCATGGTCGGCGGGCACGCAAATCATTTTGAGGATAAAAGAAACTGGTGCAAACATAGAGAAGATCAGGCAACACGAACAGGATCTGGAAGACGCGCCTGACCAGACGTGGGCTTACGACTCTTTCAAACACCTGAACACGTGGTTCACGTACAGAATCCCCGACAGTTTTGAAGGCCGCGATGATATCACCCGACTGAAGCTGCTCCGGCCGCATCAGCGGAATTTGGCTTGCGAAGACATGGTTTTCGGGACTGCATCGGGCGAACTGTCGCTACTTAGTGTCAACCCTGGCATAGACGAGACACTTGTACAGCAGTACGAAACCGGCCGCAGAGGTGTAAATGGTCTTTCGGTATCTTCTTCAAGCGCGCCCGTGGTGGCCGCTGCACTAGCAGACTCATCGTTAGCGTTGTATGCTGTAGATCGCGACCACACGTCGCAAGAAAAGATCAAACCCGCCTCCGAAGTCAAGACGACATCGGCAGGTACAGAATATGGCGGGCTATGGTCTTGCGAGTTTCTGTCCAACGATAAGATTGCCGTAGCCCGGAAAGCACACGTAGAACCAATCGAGGTATACCATATTGGCCCTGACGGCCTCATGCCTGTGCCCCTTCGCAGCTTTAATATTGTCACCGACAATGCAGCCACTCCGCGCCCTATGTCAGTTTACTCAATACTCACCATACCAAGCACACCACACGGTAGCTTAGACGGAGGCAACACATTCCTCTCCGGCGGCTATGACGGCCTCATCCGCCTGCACGACCTGCGTTCTTCCCGCGGTTTCGAGCAGATATACAGAGACCCAACCGACACCTCACCCATCTACTCCCTCGCCGCCCAAGGCACACAACGCATCGTAGCCGGCGTAGCCGTCCACTCCCTAATCAAAGTCTTCGACCTCCGCCTCTCTGGCTCCCGCACCTACACAGCGATCCCCTTATCCACTCCGAAAAAACAATCCAAGCCCCGGATCTCCAACAACACCAACACTTCCTCAGTAAAATCAATATCCGAAGGCTGGAACCTCTACCTCCACCCCCGCGACCCTCCACCCCGCACCGCCTACCGCGCCGACTTCTCCACCCTCCGCCAAGAATCCCCCGTCTACGCCTTATCCATCCCCTCCCCGACATCCCCTTCTCTCTACGCAGGCACCGAAGGCGCAGTTCACACCCTAACCTTCCACGGCATCGCCGATCCGTACCCAGACCCCCTTCTCGCCCAGTCCCTCGTTCGCTTCCACGATACGGACGTTATTGATCCGCGGGCGTCGTATAATGCGACGGGCACGGCGCTCGTGCTCGGGATGTACGAGCAAGGGACTGAGGAGTGTATTGGGATGGAGTTGATGGTACAGGATGGGGTTACGGGGAGGGCGGCGAGGAGGAGGGCCGAGGGAAGGGGAAAGGTAGTGGATGAGCGGTGGATTGATCTTAAGGAGAGAGAGGAGATGTGGGTTAGAGGGGAAGTGGTGCCTAGAGGGCATAATCCGCGGGTGCCGGGGCAGAGACGGAGGAGAAGGGGGAGAGGAAGGGGTGGGTAAAGAGATACATAGAGAGGAGTGTTGGGGTTAATTTGTATCCTTTGGTATTGATGGGTTAGCTTTCATCAAACATATTAGAAGCGAGTTATTGTAATTGCAGAAGGGGGATATGATGTAAATGTGATGTTGGTACCTTAAGTCATGATACGATATTAAAACCCCTCTCTCCTCACGCAACAGTATCCGACTCCGTATGCGCCAACAACCCCGTACTCTCATCCCGTCCATGTCCAACTGTCATCCACACCCGTCCTTCACTCTCGCCGCGCCACCCCTGCACCCTCCTCGCAAAATCAAATCCCCAATGCCACGCGAGCCCCGCCACAAAGCCGACCGCATCATTCTTAAACGTAAGCAGTGCCGCAACCGTAACCAGCATGACTGTCCACCTCTCCTTCCTATCCCGCTCATCCAGCTCCCGCACCCTCTTACCATCCCACGTGAGGTCGCGCTCCAGCACACGCAAGTCGCGCGCATCGGTATTTACGCTCTCGCCTACTTTGGCGAGTTCGAGGCCAGCAGCGAGGACCAGGACGCCGAGGAGGGATTTGGGGATATTAGCGAGAAGCGTGATGATGGATGGGGATTTCCAGAAAGCGACGAGACCCAGCGTGAATTTCAGGGAGCCGAGTATGATGACGCTTGAGCCGCTGCGGGCGCCGAAGCGGTATTGACCGGCGAGGCCGCCGGAGCCGTGGCAGGCGGGCATGGCGCCGAACCAGCAGCCTACGAGGTTGATTGCGGCGACTGAGACGCCGAGTTCCGTTACGGTGGGGGCGATGGGGTAGGGTGGGGAAGGAAAGAAATCAGCTGCTAGGGCTGAAGCGGCTATGACGGAGTTGAGGACTGTGAGGGGGAACTGGCCGAGAGAAGCGGTTGAGATTGCGGTCCAGAAGTCGTGGCCTGACGGATGAAGAATGGGGATTGCTGCTTCGGGGACTGTGATGTCTGCGTCCTGGGGCGAGGCTAGAGAGAGAATGATGCCGGCTGTGAAGACAATCATTGCATATGGCATGCGGGGATAGGCAAAGGTGCAGAGGAGTAGGAGGACAGCTGCTAGGGCCCAGAGGAGGTTGTCGCCCCACCATGGGCCGGTCCAGGTCAACGGGAGAAGCATGTTTGATCCAGCGCTCAAGCATAGCGAGAGTCCAGCTCCAACTTGAATGCCCTTTACAACTGGAATGGGCGTTACGCGGTTTACCCAGTTGAGCAGGCCTGTGACGCTGAAGAGGCCTACCAGCGCTGCTACCACTACTCCGGCTGCTGCGTTCTCGTTGAGGGAGAACTTGCGTGCAATAGCTACCGCAGCAATGGCCTTCATGGGCTGAACTGGAAGAGGCAGACCAAAGGAAAGGCCTGTGAGGATGTTGGCCGCTCCCGTGAAGAGCAGTGTAGAGGGTAACGATATCGAATTCGATATAACCAGCGCAGTCATGAGAGGTAGTAACGTCCCCAGGTCTCCGAGCGAGCCGGACAGCTCAGCAAGCGGCTGTAACCGGAAAGTGTCGACATTATGAGTTTGCGTGCGGCGGAATCTCCGCAGCGAGTTTTGTAGATAAGACATCTGATCAAGCAAAAGCCACGGCCCAAAAACAAGCAACAACGAAGACGCTCAAAGAACAAGAAGAAAATGCCGGAGTAGAAAGGTCTAAAGAGGAAAAGAAGTTGAAAAGGCGCGTGGATCTAGGACAACATGATGACGGAGGAAGCTTTGGAACAAAGTTGACATAAAGGTGGGATGGAGAGACCCAAACGACGCGGCAAGCGGGTCCCGGATGCTGACTCGTGGTTGGATAATGCAAGACGTCACGGGCCCTTATTTGCTACAAGTCTCGTGCGCCTCCGATCCTCCACCAGCGTTTTTTTTTACTGCAGGGAAAGCGGGAAGTCCGCTCCAACGAGTTTAAAGTCAGCCTATCGTGAACAGTTGGCTTGGAGGGTCTGGTGTTGGGACAGGGAGGACCAAGTCGATATACCCTGTGTTCAAGGGCATGGTGGTGCGGGTATAGCTACCCTGAGCGTTGCTCATTGGCGCTAGTGGATGGTAAGAGGCGGGTTTGAACTATCGGGGCGGTTTGAGCGACATGCTTTAATCCCTAGCTGGGCGACTAAACCCTACTTTGGCCCTTCTACCGTGGGTTGCGGTGAGGGTTGTCGACCACATGTGTATTGTTTGCGGGGTTTAGCAAGAATCGGTGAGAGGCTTGGCTGGGCGCAATGACCGGGCGCAAGGCGGAGGCGGCTTGTTGTGTTGGACAAGAGGCAGCTCTGGCAGTGGTTCAGGCAGGATCATGATTGAGATATGGCTGCATACGGGCACCGTACGATTGGAATCAATGGGTATGAGGGGCAGGAGGGGGCGCGTGAAGGGGCACCGAGGGGTGGGTGGACGTGACAGCGGCATATGCAATGCTTATTCGTCGACATGGCTGCACTGGTGGGCTGGGCGACCCGGGAGCATGGGTTGCTCGAAAAAGGGCACGAAGGGCAAAAGTAATCTACAGCTATCCTGATACTTGCCCAATGCGGTATCTTGGACGGCATATGGCGGACTTGGGGGCGCTTTCAACGGCACACTTGCGGCCTCTATTTGGGTGCCCGGTTACAGGGGACGAGGGGCACCGAAGGGCACCCGTCATCCATGGGTGTTTACAAAATTGCCCCTTTGAGGCACACTGGCTGTGGTGGCTGCATGCGCCTATCTTGGCTTTTGGTACAAAAAAAGTACACCTACATGTCTATACTTTGGTACAGATGCTTTTTGCGCCGTCTACCAAAGAATTGGATTTGACTTGATAGGCCCTGTACAGGCCCCACTTCTTGGATAATACGCACCTCTTTTCCCATAAACTCATAATGTGATAGTATTTTTGTCCATAGTTATTGAACACCTTGTATCGTATTGTCCATGTACATTTGCAAACTCTGCATTCGCATTGAGTCCACACTGACAGCCTACTGCCTCTGCACAAGTCGATATCCGCACAGTTCTGGGACATGACAAATTAAGAAACCATGATCACTCAGCCAAGCACACAAACATCTATTCTAGGTCGTCCCTAGACGCTCGGCAAACCTTCCACAGCCCCAGACGGATGAACGTCCACCTAATAGTGGGGGCGGGGCAGGCCTCGCGACGTCATGTTTAAGCTCGAAGGAAGGTCCACCATACCTCAGAAAAACGCGGACATCTGTCGTCCGGCAACCAAATATAAAAATAGCCTTCATATTCTTCCGAAATGTAAACTCTAATACAGAGAAGCGCAGGAGAAAAAAAAGATTTCTTTCTAATCAGATCATTTGCTCAATCGTACCTACACCAAAATGGCCAGAGACGGAGAAGACCGAGCAGCGCTCGTCAACAGACAACTGCCAGAAATGACACTGTCAACAGCAGACAATCCTCTCACTGCTCCTCAACTACCTCCAGAGGGGCTAACAGCAGCTCAAAGAGCTCAGTATAGGTTTCAAGTCAAGGGCAATGCAATCAGTACGTCTCCATTCACACCCACAACTCAATCTAACCCCTCCTCCAAGTCACCGGCGGCACCGGCACCCTCGCCCTCGAAGCCGCCCGCGCCCTCCTCGAACACGGCGCCTCAGGCCTCGCCCTCTGGGACCTCAACCCCGACGCCGCCTTCTCGACCCTCAAAACGCTGCACACGCAATTCCCGCACGCCCGCATCCTCAGCATGGCCGTCGACGTGCGCTCCGACACGGCCATTGCAACCGCCCTATCCGACACGCTCAAAGTCCTCGGCTCAATCTCGACCCTCCTCTGCTTCGCCGGCGTAGTCGGCTGCACTCACGCCATCGACATGACCCCCGACGAATGGCGCAGAACCCACGACGTCAATCTCACCGGTTCCTTTCTCTGCGCACAAGCTATTGCGCGGCAGCTCCGCGACCAGAAAACGGGCGGAAGCATCGTCTTCACGGCCAGTATATCAGCCCACCATACGAATTTCCCCCAGCCACAGGCCGCGTACAATGCCTCCAAGACGGCGCTGTTGTCGCTGGCCAAGAGTCTGGCGGCGGAATGGAGCAGTTTTGGCATCAGGGTTAATTGTGTGAGTCCTGGGTATATGGATACGATTTTGAATGAGGGCGAGGGGCTGGAGCGAGCGCGGACGAGTTGGAATTCGAGGAATCCCATGGGCAGGATGGGCAATCCGTGGGAGATTACGGGCGCCGTCGTGTTGCTGTGTAGTCAGGCGGGGAGGTATATTAATGGGACGGATATTATTGTCGACGGAGGGGCTATGGTGTTTTAGGAGTTTTCATGCAGAGCTGAGTTGGGCCTGCAGTGGGAGTCAGTTGCATGAGCATTCAATTGGCATGTGACTTTAATGTATGGATCGTTGGAGTTAGTGTTCTTGCCGATAACATGTATGAGCATTTCTGGCCTGCTGTCAAAACTATAAATAGTCACAGAGCTACGGCTATGTGGGGACAACAACGTCCTATTTCTTCTTCTCTTCCTCTTCATCATCCTCGTCACTGTCTTCCTGTTCGTCTTCGTCTTCTTCATCGTCATCATCGTCGTCATCATCCTCTTCGTCGTCAGATACTTCTTGCCCAAGAGCTTTGAGACGTTCCTACAATCATTAGCATAGTCCGTACCTAATCTTAAATTACAACATACCTTGTCTTTGCTCCTCTTTTCCTCAAGATCACTGAGTACCATGATGAGATCCTCCAACTCGGTCGTCTTCTCCTTCTCGTTCTCTTGGGCTTTACGTAGCTTCTCTTGCAGCTCTTTGATTTCCTTCTCCTTTGTCGACTTCGCGCCCGACTCAGCTTTACGCAGCTTCTCCTCTGCGTCTTTGACCTTCCATGTTTGGTCTTGTACTTTGGTTTTGAGATCTTGGTTCTCTTTGTTGAGTTTGTCGACGCTCGACTGTAGGGCGTCCTTTTCTGATTTGAATTGCTCGAGGGCTGCCTCTTTTTCTTCCTCGAGTCGCTTGACCTGCACCTCCTTTTCGTCCTCTAATTTCTTGATCTGTGCTTCCTTTTCCTCCTTGAGCTTCTTGATCTCATCCTCACTCTTTTGTGCTTGCGATTGCGCATTACGCAGGGTTTCCGTGATAGTAGCCACTTCATCACGTGCCTGGTTCAGTGATTGCTCAAGGCTACGAATCTTCTCCGAAGCCTCTTGCAGAGCTTTGTCTGAGGCACCCAGTCGACTTTCCAGCTCAGCTCGTATCCTGTTTGCATCGAGCAGTTTCCCGTCATATTCTTGCTTGACCTTTGCGACGGCAATGTTTGCATCTTTGGTAGCTTGTTGTAACTTGTTATTGAGCGCAACGATTTGAAGGTTGTACCTATTCTCCGTCTCAAGTATGGTTTGTCGGTGCTCGCGATCTTTGTTCGCGATTTCCTTGTCGAGGTCGTCGTGCAATTTGTCATTGATGCGTTTTAGCGTATTTCTTTGCTCTTCTGCTGCTTGCTGCGTCTTGCGATGCTCGGCTTGCTCATTGTTTATTTTTTGCTCCAGGGTCATGAGTTGTGCCTGAAGCTCTTGGATGATCTGCTCCTTTTCATCTCTTTCGCCACGTAGCGCATCAACTACGTCTCGATCAACGCCATCATGCGACTGATGCTGCTCAATATTCGGATTTCGGTCAATCGCTCGCGACAAGCGACTAAAATTGTCTTTCAAAAAGTCTATAAAGGTCTCGTCGAAGAACACATCAGGTAAACTGCTGCCACCTCCGCCATTGCGGGGTAATACCTCGAAGTCGCGCACAAGAGGATGGTGTCGCAGCCCCGTGATGGCGTCAAGGTACTTGTCGCGGCCAAGCTTCGAAGTGAGTATTGGCTGGAGTTCGCGTCGCGGCACTGGTGAATCCCTTGTTGAGAACTCATACACAACACCCAACAGTGCTGCACACAGACCCCTAATCAAGACACGGTCCTCTCCCGGTGTCAATACGGCTTGGACTAGACTTTGTAAACTGCTGGCTTCTGCTAAGAAGTCATCTACTGCCGAGGCGTCCTCGAAAAGCCAGCCTAGCAAGAGCATCAGGTAGGCGACGGAGATGCGCTCGTCTTCGCCGAGCTGTAGACTTGCAATCAGGTTTGCAGTCAACGTCTGTATACATGTGACGACTTCCTCGCCACTTTCCGCATCGCCTTCTTTGACTTGCATCAGTGTATTCTTTGCTTGGTAATCATCAAAAATGAGATGGTACATGAGGGTTGCTGCAAACCAAATCCTGTAGGGGTCGCCAGTTGGAGGAACCTGCGAACCCGCCATCAGTATAGTCAGCGCATTCGCTGTCTCATCACCACCTTCGTGTCCACCGATGGCTCGGTTAAGGAAATGTTCCTGGATCTGCACGTGATTGTAAAAATAGGCCTTGATACACTCGCATCCTGCATTGCGCAAATCAAAAAGGTCGTTGGATGCAGGGGAGAGCACAAGGTTGAGTAGCGCTTCGATAACATATACCTGCGCGGTGCCGTTTGGAGAAGCCACACCATTCGTGACAGGTTCAACAATGGGCCGAACCTGCTCTTGGGCAAAACCTTCTTGTAGCCTGGCATTGCCTCTGATGAGGTCGGCGCAAGTGTTGAGAGCCTCGATTTTGATGGGCATTGCAGTTGCAGGATCGAAAGCAATATTGAGAAGCTGGCGGACAAGGCCATGTTGTTGAAAAACATTTTGGTTTTGCAGTGTACCTGGACTCCCTTTGACGAGGAACATGCGCATGATGGCAAGCAGACCCCAAACGTTCTTATCGTTTTGCGGACTAACCCAGTCATCCTCGCCTTCTACGGTGGGACGTGCCTTTTTTGGCTTCTTTCCCCCAGGAAGTAGTGCAGAGAATCGTGCGACATGACCCATCTCTCGAATGTTGGTCTGGTTGGATACATTGAAGCGAATGAGAGTGGCTAGCAAACTCAGACAATCCTGGACCACAACGCCACCCTGTGTGAGCCCGCCGTCGGCATGTATCAGGTTGAATATCTTAGTAAAGGCATCCTCAAAAACAAACAGCTTTTGGAGTTCAGTCGAGGAGCGCGCTAAGTCGTTAAGTACAATGAGACTTTCGTTGCGAATGGCATCTCGTGGATCATCGAGGGTTGCGACGAGTCGTTCGATGCCGCCGGGGGCTGTGAGGACACATTCTTGGGTTCGTTGGGGTCGTGCTTGCGAGATGGCGCGAATCAGCTGCAGCGAGTAAAGGCGGGAATAAAAATCTGGCTTCTCCAGGAGGTCGACGAGCAAAGTGATGTTGTCTTGTCGCTACCATAAGCTCAGCACTAGCAAGCACGCGCACAGAAGGGAAGCACATACTTGAGAGAATTGGTCGGCCAACCATAGGGCTATTTCCTCGGAGGCTTCTGGGCTGTTCTCATCGGGGTGGAAGAGCATGAGCAGTGTCTCAAGCACCACCTTGAGCGTGTCCACATCGTCGCCATCTTTGGTAAGAGACGTGATGAGTCCCCGCAGCGCTCCTGATGCGACTGAGGCGGGGTATTCTTTTGCAAAACTACGGAGGCCGAGAATGGCAGCGCGGCGATCTTCGAGGAGGGTTGCGCTGGTCAGGCGCCCGCTCAGCGTGCTGATAGTATCCGTGGCAGTCTGCTTGGGAGGCGCGTTGGCCTCGAGTACTCGCATCATCTTGAAGAAACTGGGCGGGCTATGGCTTCATGGCAGGGATAGAGGCAGCGATTGGGTGAATGTTCATGCGAGTGTATGTAGTATATGTATGAGGAACCATCGGATCAGCCCGGCGTCCTCGTTCAGTCAACGTGACTGCCGCCCGCACAGGTGAAGACAGCATTCACCCGTGCCTTGAAGCTCCACGTATAATTCGGCGCACGGGCTGCGGCTCGCTCACACCGCACCCTGGTCGCACGTTGCTCGGCTAAGCCCCGGCTTTTGGTCTTGGCAGTGAATCTTGTACCCTCGCGCGTCTTTGTCGACTTCTCACCGTAACACTCCACCCCCATCCCCATCAATCACACGCGCAACTCGGCCACAGCGCGCCAAAGAAGCCTGCGATTCCAGGAGGCTCTTTTTCTTGTTGCCACTGCTAGATATCGCCTCCAGCGCCATTACACAGTAGGAGGGCCACAGTATTCGCCGCCAGGCAGTTTCTTTCTTTCTTTCTAAGGGGCGCTTCATCGATAGAAGCGTCAGTCGCCGCGCTTTCCAGCCTTTTCAGTATCTTCGCAATACTACCCACACTTCCAGAGCACTAGCACACGCGTTTGCGCCATCGCTGCACTCCCCCCATTCCTCTACGTACAACCCTCGCACCCTTCCCCTATATACCGCGCCACTGAGCGCCTTCCGCCACAATGGGTGTTCCCGCCATGTTTCGCTGGCTCAGCCAGAAATACCCCAAGATCGTATCAACTGTGCAAGAGGAACTGCCCAAAAAAGTCGGTGATGCCGTCATCCCCGTAGACCGTACTGGACCCAACCCCAACGGTGAGGAGTTCGACAACTTGTACCTCGACATGAACGGCATTGTGCATCCATGCTCGCATCCCGAAGACAAGCCCGCGCCCAAGACTGAGGCTGACATGATGCTTGCCATTTTCGAGTACACTGACCGCGTCCTCGGCATGGTGCGTCCCCGTAAGCTGCTTTACATGGCTGTCGATGGTGTTGCCCCCCGTGCCAAAATGAACCAACAGCGATCGCGTCGTTTCCGATCAGCCAAAGAAGCAAAGGAAAAGGACGACGAGCGTGCAGAATTTCAGAAGATCCTCAACTCACAAAAGGCCAGCCGTGGTGAGGACATTAATAGTCTCGAAGAGGTCGTTGAAAAGACCTGGGACTCTAATGCAATCACCCCTGGTACACCCTTCATGCATCTTCTTGCCGAGAGTCTTCAATACTGGTGTGCGTACAAGTTCACAACCGACCCTTCGTGGAAGGACATGAAAGTCATCATTTCAGATGCATCTGTGCCTGGTGAAGGAGAACACAAAATCATGAACTTCATTCGCTCTCAACGCGCTATGCCCACACATGACCCCAATACCTCGCACGTCATCTACGGCTTGGATGCCGACTTGATCATGCTGAGTCTTGCCACTCATGAGCCTTACTTTCGTGTTCTCAGAGAAGACGTCTTCTACGACTCTGGTAAGGACAAGGTCTGCACCCGCTGTGGGCGCAAAGGTCATATCCGAACCAACTGTGAATTCCCTGATGATGGCAAGAAGCTCACTGAAGAAGAAGCTGATGAGGAATGGGCCATGTCTGAACACCAGCTCAAGCCCTTTATCTGGCTGCACACCAATATCCTGCGAGAGTATTTGGCTGTTGAAATGGACACGCCCAAGCGCAAATTCAAGTATGACTTGGAGCGTTCACTCGATGACTGGGTCTTTATGTGTTTCTTTGTCGGTAACGATTTCTTGCCACACTTGCCTAGTCTTGAAATTCGCGACCAGGGTATCGATCTGCTCATTAGCATCTGGCGAGATCTTGCCGCTGATATGGATGACTATGTGACTAAGGATGGGTTTCCTGACATGCGCCGCGTACAGCAGATTCTTTCAGCTCTTGCCACCCGGGAGGCCGGCATCTTCAAGAAGCGTAAGGAAGTCCAAGATCGCCAGGCAGCTAACAGGGCTCGACGTGAGGCCCATAGCAACGCCAATAAACGTCAACGAACCGACGAAAACGGCCTTTCGGCCCCAGGATTCAAGCGTGCAAAGGAGACAACAGACACCTACACAAGTGCAGGCATCGTATTCTTTGATCCTAAGCAGGCCCAGTCGAAGGAGGTACGCGATGTTCACAAGGACATTATGCATACCCGGGATTCCCAAGCCAACAAAAGCGCGGCTGCCAAGCTCAAGGAGCTGATGAAGGCCAAGGCTGAGGGTACCTCTATCCCGGAGCCTGAGTCAGCACCAGCGTCTGAGCCAGCTTCCGAATCCGCTTCTGGTGCTGAAACGCCTGTCCATCTTGGAAAGCGCAAGGCAGATGACATAGAGGACCTCGACAACGGGACGCCTGGACGCAACACACCAGTCGTCCCCGAATCTCCAACCCAGGCTACCGAGCCCAAGAAAAACGACGATGGCACTCCAGAGGATACTATCAAGCTCTGGGAAGAAGGCTACGAGGAGCGTTACTACGAGCAGAAATTTGGTGTTGCACCCAACGACATTGCCTTCCGCAACAAAGTCGCACGTCAGTATGCTGAAGGTCTCTGCTGGGTCTTGGCCTACTATATGCAAGGCTGCCCTTCGTGGACATGGTACTTCCCTCACCACTATGCCCCATTCGCTGCCGACTTTGTTGGTCTCGAAGACATGGACCCTCGCAAGCTGTTCGAGAAGGGCAAGCCTTTCCATCCATACGAGCAACTGATGGGTGTCTTGCCTGCTGCATCCAACCATGCCATCCCTGAACCATTCCGTGTACTCATGGAAGACCCCAACAGCTCCATTGTGGACTTCTACCCCGAAGACTTTCCCATCGACCTCAATGGCAAGAAGTTCGCCTGGCAAGGTGTTGCTGTCTTGCCATTCATTGACGAGAAGCGACTGCTTGCCGCCATGGCTACGAAGTACCCTGAGCTGTCAGATGATGAGAGGAAGCGAAACGAATTCGGAAAGGAAACTCTCATGTTCTCACAGGAGTGTAGCCTTTTTGATGACGTAGAAAAGGCTCTGTATCGCAAGGGTCAGCAAAAGTACAAGATTGACCCCGCTAAGAGTCGAGCTCTCCATGGAGACGTTGAGCCGCACGACTTGTTTGTTATGGACAGCCAACTTGTGCCACCGTTCGACGCCAACGGCATAACAGAGTTTGAAATCACCCAGGACCGCTCAATGAGGTATGTCATGGTAAATTTCCATCTTTAAAGCTAATTACTAACAATGCATAGGGTATACTACGAAATGCCGACTGTGACCTCCGCTCGAGCACACAAATCTGTTCTACTCGACGGTGTCAAGCTTCCCAAACCAGCCCTAAGTCCTGGTGAGGCCGAATCGGTACGTCGCTCCAACGAGCGCGGTGGCTTCCGTGGCCGCGGCCGTGGAGGTGGTGGAGGTGGTCGGGGAGGCTACAATGATCGCCGTAACGACAACAACCGCAATGACTACCAGAACGGCGGTGGACGAGGAGGTTACCAGAATGGTCGTGGAGGCGGCAACTGGGATAACAACAATAGAGGTGGCTACGGCGGCGGCCAAGCTGGCGGCTATCCACCACCACCCTCCAACTTTGCGCCTCCATTCCCTGGCGGCAACTTCCCTCCTCTACCCGGCGGCGCGAACTTTCTACCTCCCCCTCCCCCAGGTTGGGTCCCTCCACCCGGTGTAGGCGGCTGGCAAGGCGGTGCTTCTCCTTACGGCGCTCCACCTGTCCCACCACCCGCTGGTCAACGACCCGCATGGATGGCCAACTCCAACCAGCAACACGGCGCACCGCCGCCTCGCCAGGCCCCAAACAACAGTTCCCTCCGTGACGAACGCTTCTACCGTCCCGCGGACGAGATCCTCGGACGCAGCGCACCCGGAAGCGGTGGATACCAAAACAACAGCAACCCTTACAGTGATCGTCCACCCAGAGACGACAGAGGAAGTCGTGGTGGGAGGGGCGGACGAGGTGGACGTGGAGGAGGCGGTGGATACCAGGGTAACCGCAATTCGTACAATTCGAATGATTATCGTTGATAATTGGGGTTTGATGGAGAAATGTTATGCTAGATGAGACGTTTTTTTGTATGATTAGGGATTTGATATCCGTTTGAATTTATGGGGTTGACTGGTGTTTTGAGAAAAGGAATTCTGTTTGTGCTTATGTGCCTGTGAAGTTGAACGCCCTTGATACGACTAGAAAGGATAAGACAGGGATACGAAGTTTTGTTCAGAATGGTCACTTGATGTTTTTCGTACAATATGTTCTCACAGTGATAATTTGATGTCCACACAGCCAAAAAAAAATGTTCATAAATCCATGATACCATTCATGTGTGGTTGAATATCTGAAGCTGTACGTGACAAGTATATGAAAAAAAAAATAAGTAAGAAAAAAACGCCCACACCCATGCATATCTCAACTCACAGGGACACCATCTAGGCATCCTCACCCATTTTCACATCCTCGCCGTCCACCGCATCGAGACTAACACCTCCTTCCTCATCACTACCATTTGCCTCCTCGGCAACTTCCTCAGCAGCTTCCTCCACCTCCTTAGCCTGCATCTCCGCCTTCGCCTTGTCAGCCACATGATTAATAATTTCAGTATCCTTCTCATTGAACAACCTCAGCAGCATAGCCTTGCGATCATCCTTGTCAACCATGAGATTCGCACTACCAGGATGTCTCCACAAAGGCAGCACCATGCGGAATGGAATACCTTGTTCCTCGTCCTTCTCCACGCGGACAAAGCAGCATCCGACATCCATTTTCTGGAGCTGTTCGCCAACCTCGGCGAGGCCTGTGTCGCCTTCTTTGGGGAGCTTGGGGAACATTTCGCGGATGAGCTGGTGAAGGGTTTCCTTCTTCTCGAGCTTGACGATGCGCTTTTTGGCCCAGGGCTCAAGGATGCGGATGCCTTCGTTTTGGAGGCGCCATGGGGCTTGTGTGCGGTCGAGATCTTTGATCTTGTGTGCGACGAACATGACGACGCCGCAGTGGAT